CACTTTTATTCCCATCACAAGGAATGCAAAACATCCCTTGTGATACATAGAAATAATTAGTGACAGGTCCTCTTTATGGATAGATATGCGGTCAATAAGACCCCACATCTCTCTTCTACAATGTAAAGCATTAGATCAAAAAAAGCATTGATCTAATGCTTTGAAAAAGAAAACAAAATGGCCTTGTTTACAAGGCGCCAGAACCGGACGTGACGTAATGATGTCACTCCAGTCCTCCAAGGTCATAGGGATGAGTGGAGGCCATCTTTCCTTCACTGATCTCTATGCCCAGTGCTGGGATCATTGGATTGGTTTTTGGGTAAGGCTGAGAACTGGCGGGCAGCGTGGGGCGGGGTTATTTTCGGCACCTTTATCGGTGCTTATTTTCATATCGGCCAAATGCCAAAAGGGGTGTTTTCAACCGAAACGTTTCGGCCACCAAAATTTTCGCTCCATCCCTAGTTATAACCTTTCCTTGCTATATCCCAAAAAAAAGTTTTGCGTATTGTCCTGCTTTAAAGCTGAACAGCTAATGCACAGATAAAGTACCTACATGGGAGCAGCTTTCCTGCCAAAGGTTTGTATTTCTGATTATCCAGTCCTGAGATTTACAGAACTGTACCTGGCAGAGCAGTAGACCTGAATATGTAACATTTACTGATCTTTCCCCAGCCTGTGACTGAACAGTGAAAGGGATAGCCGCAGACAGATGAGCTCATCTCTCTGTTGCTCAGTTCTCTCCTCCTATTAGCACATGAGCACTGCAGTACAACTGACTGGCTTCTTTTGCTCCTTCTCCCTCTTACAGTCTAAAGCTCGGCTACACAGGGAATTTCAACACACTGTTACAATATCCAAATCATGTACTTACTTATACTCTATACCAATATCCCACCCCTAAACTGAGTTTCCCTTGAAAAAATGTATCGAAAAAATAAAGCTGCAACCAAAAAAAAAAAATCTCAGCCCTAGCTTCTGGGAGACACACGTCGTGTCACTTCTACCTCCTGTGAAAGTTAGGCAGTCAGAATCCCACCCATTGCAAGAGCAAAATCTTATAGGATTTTAAAGCAGAACTAAACCATCCTATCCTTCACACCCAAGGAAGCTGCCATCTTATGCAGGCCATACACAGGTTGAAAATCGGCTGATTTTTCGGGCGAAAAAATAATTGGCCGATTTTCGCACCGTTAATGGGTTAATTGGTCAGCCGTTTTTTGGGGTTTTGGCACATTTTTCCGGTGAAGTTGGAAAGAAAAATCGGCCGATTTTGCCGATCGGCCAATTTTCCCGGCAATGATGGGCAAATCGGCCGATCTTTTTACCAATAAAAAAATCTCCTCATGAGCCGTGGCCTGCAAGAAGAAGAAAAAAAAAGAAAAAAGAAGAATTCCAGTCCACTATTATATTTGACATGAAAAAGTATTGCGGTTGCAACAATGTATCTATTTGTATCCGAATAAAAACATCTGTATCTGAAATGGATACAAATGGATACATTGTTGCAACTGCAATACTTTTTCATGTCAAATATAATAGCGGAGCTCTCTGCAGGGACAGAAGTAATTAAATGCCGGCCGTAGACGGGACGAAAATGCCTTCAACATAAGGCCCCTTTCATAGGGGCATTCCAGAAAGGTCCGCCTATACGTTTTTCAGACAGACCCAACCATACCTTCCATTCTCCTCTATGGGTAGCTGGATGTAAACTGACTTGTGTCAGTTTACACCCAGCTACCTCGGATCCGATCTGGCAAAAGCAAACAGAAGGGGGATCCATTCCCCACTGTCTGGTCGGATCGGATGGCAGTCAGGTGTAAACAGATAGCCAGTCCGTTTAAATCCGACTAGCCATAGAGCAGAATGGGCTTTGTCCATGTCCACTCTGCATAAGCGGAGCTGACACGGACCTGTCATCTGCCTGCTCAGCGAACGATCAGCGAACAGATTCTCTGCTGAACATGCGGATTGCAGGCGGATTCCAGCCCCTGGGAAAGGGGCCTAACTCTTTTGGGAAACGGTTAAAGAGGAACCAAAGCCATCGATTTAACCCTTTCCATAAACAGTTAAATTTGAAAAAAAATGCACTTTTCGTTTCTGTTATAAAATTTTGCAAATAAGTACATTTTCTTCATATATTTGGGTCAAAATGTATACTGCTACATTGCTTTGGTAAAAATAATCCCAATCAGTGTGTATTATTTGGTCTGTGTGGAAATTAGAGTCTACAAGCTATGGTACCAATCATTGAAAATTGAACACACCTGATCAAACCTGATGTACTGACGGCCTATCTCATTTTTTGAGACACTAATGCAGGCCATAGATGGGTCGAAATTCGGCTGAAAATAAAATCGGCCGATTTTCGGATCATTGCTGGGTTAATAGGTTGGCCGTTTTTCGGGATTTTGGCAGCTTTTTTTTTTTATCGGTAAAGTTTGAAAGAAATTGGCCGATTTTGCCGATCGGCCGATTTTTGTGGCAATGGTGGGCAAATCGGCCGATCTTTTTACCGATAACAAATCTGCTCATGAGCAGTGACCTGCAAGAGGAAGACAAAAAGAAGAAGAAGAGGATGAAGAAGAATTCCAGTCCAGCAAAAAGTGTCCCTGCAGAGAGTTCTGCTATTTCTTTGACAGTTCTTTGATATTTATTGCTGCTGCAACAATGTATCTATTTGTTTCCGAATAAAAACATCTGTATCCTAAATGGATACAAATAGATACAATGTTGCAGCCGCTATAAATGTCAAAGAACGGTCAAAGAAATAGCGGAGCTCTCTGTAGAGACACTTTCTGCCGGCTGTAGACGGGATGAAAATCCAACGATTTTTTTTTTTAACCGTTCCTGGTAACGTTGGCCGATTGAACGACCGATTTTTTTCATTTTTTTTAAGAAGAATCAGCCGGTTTTCTCCCCATCTATGGCCTGCATTAGTAACGCCCTTTTATAATCAACTGTCTGCTGGACACCTGTTTAATGACTAATTAGAATCATCTGTAGTTGAATTCTTGTTAATTAGGATTTTGTTGTCTAAAATTTAGCTTTGCTCCTAAGACTTTCATTAGGATGTATTAATTTTTGCAACATGGTCTGTATGTATGAGTGTGTGTGTATATGTGTGTGTGTGTGTGTGTGTGTATATATATATATATATATATATATATATATATATATATATATATATATATATATATATAATATACAAAGTAAATATGTTCTATAAATACACGTTTTACAGTTGTGTCCAAAATTATTCAACCCCCACTGAAATTGAGTGTTTTGGCCAGTTTGACATTGCTTTTGATCATTCAGTCATCTTGCTTACATTTACATTAAAGAGGCACTTGTAGGTCAGACAAATATAACATAACAGTTATAATGAAATAACCACAAATGTCTTTTCTGTGCTCACAGCATTATCAGTTTTATTCAACCCCCAAGTGACATTCAATCTTAGTACTTAGTACAGCATCCTTTTACAGTTATAACAGCTTTTAAACGTGAAGCATAGCTTGACACAAGTGTCTTGCAGCGATCTACGGGTATCTTCGCCCATTCTTCATGGGCAAAGGCCTCCAGTTCAGTCACATTCTTAGGCTTGCGCACTGCAACTGCTTTCTTTAAGTCCCACCAGAGGTTCTCAATCGGATTTAAGTCTGGTGACTGCGATGGCCACTCCAAAATGTTCCAGCCTTTCCTCTGCAACCATGCTCTAGTGGACTTGGAGGTATGCTTGGGATCATTGTCCTGTTGAAAGGTCCAACGTCTCCCAAGCCTCAGGTGTGTGACGGACTGCATCACGTTTCCATCCAATATCTCCTGGTACTGAAGAGAATTCATGGTACCTTGCACACGCTGAAGCTTCCCTGTACCTGCAGAAGCAAAACAGCCCCAAAGCATGATTGACCCTCCACCATGCTTCACAGTAGGCAAGGTGTTCTTTTCATCATAGGCCTTGTTCTTCCTCCTCCAAACATAGCGTTGATCCATGGGCCCAAACAGTTCTAATTTTGTTTCATCAGTCCACAGAACACTATCCCACAACTTTTGTGGTTTGTCCACATGGCTTTTGGCATACTGCAGTCGACTCTTCTTATTCTTTGGAGACAGCAAGGGGGTACGCCTGGGAGTTCTGGCACGGAGGCCTTCATTACGCAGTGTGCGTCTTATTGTCTGGGCTGAAACTTCTGTACCCACATCTGACAAATCTTTTCTCAGTTCCTCAGCAGTCACACGGGGACTTCTCTCCACTCTACGCTTCAGGTAGCGCACAGCAGTCGAAGTCAGCATCTTCTTTCTGCCACGACCAGGTAGCGTTTCAACAGTGCCCTTTGCCTTGAATTTGCGAATGATGCTTCCTAAGGTGTCTCTTGGTATTTTAACATCTTTGCAATCTTCTTATAGCCATTGCCCTTCCTGTGAAGAGAAATCACCTCTTCTCTTGTCTTCCTGGACCATTCTCTTGCCTTCACCATGTTTGTAACCACACCAGTAAATGTCTAGAAGGAGCTGAGTATCACAGTCATTTTAAAGCTGCCTAATTGGTGCTTATTATGCTTGATTGCTGCTCGGTGACATCCACAGGTGTTTTCAATACCTGATGGAAAGCACCTGTATGAACCTCTGTTCTTCAGAGTGGTAGTCTTTAAGGGGTTGAATAATTGTGGCAATGAAGAAACCACATAAGAACCATTTACTACTGTATTACATAAACAATTGATGTCATTTTAGTTGCATTTGGGTAGTTACAACGTCCTTGTAGGATTTGATTCTGAATACAATTCCAAATGTACACTATAGTCCCTAAACCCCTTTACAGCATTGGGGGTTGAATAATTTTGGACACAACTGTAAGTCTGTTTGTGTCATTAACACTCTCTCTGCAATCAGCTTCTCAATACCTGTGTAATTTATCCCTCAGGGAGTTGATGTAAAGCAACAAAAAAAAAAAAAGCGGAAATCAACCAGTGTCACTCTTACGATCCGTGGATTTCTACATGGTTAGCAACACCTCTACTGGAGACAAGATGGAATCTTCTTTTCCAACTGTGTTCCCCCAAACAAGTGGAACCTTTAATGCCCCTTTGACAGAGACAGAGCTTCATAAACTTTTAATTGATGAAAAAATGCGATGTGAAGACCACAAGACCAACTATCAGACTCTAAAGGCTGAGCACACCAGGTACTGTGTCATAATCCTTCAGTCCCAGCATCCCTGGGTTCACCATGCTTTAAGTGTAAATGATACCATCTTTCTATATTTATAGCTGCTCTGCCAATTGTAATATTTTTTTTTTCCTTTTGAAGGGGGTAGAGCTTTGATCAATATGCTGCAATTCCAACAATCAAAGCAGCCGCGTGACTCATTTGTTTTCTGTGTTTTTAGCTGAAGAAGGCTAGACATGGTCACGTTGTTGCAAGATTTTTGATAACTGCTGTCTATTGTAATGATTTACTGGGGCTATGAACCTTAACCCAAGCAATTTTCCTGATTGCTTCTTTGCTGAGCATATCACACATTTCCACTTTTCTGGGAAGCTACTGCTGCTACATTTTTTTTTTTTTTCATTTTTTTCCTTCTTTTCTTTACTTTTTTTATCTTACGTGCTTCTGAATTCTTTCTCTTTCAATCCTTAAAGTGAATCTTTGTATTTTTTTTTTTTTTTTTTTTTTTTTGCCAAATGGCTTCCACTGCTGTGTCTCAGCCAATGAGGAGAGAGAGACCCAAGACAGCTGAGGCTCCTGTGCACATCACTGGATCGAGACGGGGCTCAGGAGTGTATTGGGGGGCTAAGGGGGATGCAACACAAATAAAAAGAAAACCTTCAATCTTTACAACCACTTTAAAGGGCCTTGTAAGGTATGTAGTGAATAGAACTTTGTGGGGTTGTAGAGATCAATACCAAAAGCAAAACTAGCATAGCAAACAAAGGGAAAAAAGTGACAGGTACATCTGATGTCTGTTTAGCAAAATCATTGTAGGGCATAAAAAGTCAATCTAGCAGTAGTGTTTACAACATTCCGGAGGAAATCAGCTTCCCATGGAGGAACGATACTTGAACCAGAGGGTTCAGTTGTGTACTCCTGCACAAAATGTGTGAGTATTGGAAGGTTTATAATCCCACATGAGGTTTATTTAAGTGCACCATACAGGAGAATGAAGGTAGCACAATGGAAAAAGGGTTGCAATTTGACATCCCAAGCAATGAAAGCAGTACCACAGTGATAGATTAAAGAGTGGTAAGAACATTTGCAAACTCCTTAGATACTGGCAATCTCTGCAGTGACTCCAGGAAGGCATGTGTTTTTAGAGGAAGAGATCTTCTGGTTTCTTTACTGACACTTGTGGGTGTCCAGCTGCAGCACTGGGCTACCACTTAGCAGCGTTTGTTGACACAATTCTGAAGAGCATTAGGTTTTTCTAGCATTTCCAAAGCATTTATAAAGCTTCAGTTAGATTTCTTTAAATATTTAAAACATGCTTTGAGCTCCAGTGTGGGAACATAGATCTTTAGAGTGCTGGTTGTAGGTTAACTGTGAACCTGTCACTTTTTTGTTTGATAGCTCACCTTCTCCCTCACTGATCCCCCACCTTCTCCAGTTCATTTGCCAGAGCCCTGAGTTAAGAACCCATGTGCTACTCCATAACCAGAGGTACTGGATATTCCCAAGGGCACTGGCAGGTGAAGAAAATGCTTGGGGAAAACGCTATCAAGAAAACAATAGTACTTTAACTACTTGACAACAACAGATAGCCGAATGACGGCTACACTGCGGCCGGCCAGTTCTGGGAGGGCGTCATATGACGTCCTCCCAGAACACGCTCTCCTGCGTTCTTTTACCACATCACAGCTGATCACGTGATGTGGTAAAAGGCCAATCACAGCGGCCTTTTACCACGTGATCAGCCGTGTCCAATGACACGCTGATCACCGGGAAATGCAATTGCCGGTTCTCGGCTGCACTTTCCTCACGCTGTGAGAGCGTGAGGAAAGTACTGGCGAGAACTGGCAGTTGTCAGAGCAGGGATCGGCACCGATCATCGGGGCACTGATGATCAGTGCCCTGATGATCGGTGCCCAGCAGTGCCACCCACCAGTTCCGCCCACCTGTGCCACCCAGCAGTGCACCCACCTGTGCCACCCAGCAGTGCGCCCGCCTGTGCCACCCACCTGTGCCCACCAGTGCCACCCACCTGTGCCCACCAGTGCTGCCAGTCAGTGCCCAGTGGTTGCGCCAGTCAATGCCTAGCAGTGCCGCCAGTCAGTGCCCAGCAGTAATGCCAGTCAGTGCCACCTATCAGTGCTGTCTATCAGTGCCGCCTATCCATGACACCTCATTAGTGCTGCCTATCAGTGCCCATCAGTGCTGCCTATTAGTGCCCATCAGTGCTGCCTCATCAACGCACATCAGTGAAGGTGAAAAATTACCTGTTTGAAAAATTTTATAATAGAAACAAAGAAACTTTTTTTTTTTTTTTTTTTAATTTTTTGCATTTTTTTGTTTATAGCAGAAAAAGTAAAGCACCAGCGACGATTAAATACCACCAAAAGAAAGCTCTATTTGTGAAAAAAAAATGCTAAAAATTTAATATGGGTACATTCTTGCATGACCGCGCAATTGTCAATCAAAGTGCTACAGCACTGAAAGCTGAAAATTGGCCTGGGCAGGAAGGGGGTATAAGTGCCCGATAGGCAAGTGGTTAAATAGGCTGTGAACAGGTTGCTGCTGACTTTTAGCAAGTTTCATACAATGCCGAAGGGTGCTTTTAAAGGCTTCAATAAAGTTTCTTGAAGCATGTTAAATGCTCTCAGACTACCATTTCCAGGCTACAGTTGGCAAACGAGCGTGTGCTTAACATTAGTCTTGTTTTCTTTGTAAACAAGACACAGGCTCTGCATTGGATTCATTTCATATTATGCAGCAGTAGTCACTCTCACTGTAAATCAACAATGTATTAGTCTATGCAGAGTATCCCTAACATGTCCAGGCAGCAATTGAATTCTGAGGGAAAAAATATGGCTTTTAACTTTTTTGAAGGCATATTCCCATAATAAAGTGTCATTAAACCCACGTCCTAAAAACTCAAGAAATGCTGTATTACATGTGGTTTATATTCACTCATTCACTATGAGATTAGTATTCTGCAAAAAAAAAAAAAAAAAACTGTTGATTTTGCTGTCTCTCTCTTTCCCCATTTTGCCCCATTTTGCTGATGTCCCACGAAGTTGGGTATTTTGCAGAGCAGTGTAGGCAGCTACTGCACATGCTCAGTTTTTCAGTGAGTTTCTGTTCTGAGCATTTTTTCCCTATCACATCTGAGCAGCCCATATGACTATAGAGTAACACAAGTGGGCAAACACTGTGGTTAATTGACAGCCCACTCCCTCTCTCCTCCTCCCATACCCACTAACCAGCTAAACACAATTGGGTGGGATATTACATCTTGATTGAGGGAGGTTTTACCTCCCTGTTATTCTAAGACACAGGCTGGAGGGGCATGTCAAAGCCTGTAGCTGACAGAAATCCGTCCACACCCTGTTATTGCCAAAAATAAAGATTTGATTTCAAATACACATTTGTATGACAATTTAAAACAGCTTATTGATTTTATTTATTTTTATTTCATATTCCAAAGGCTGTTTTTTTTATTGAACATGCAGCAGCAGAGGACTAGAAGCTCCTCCTGCTTATGTTTCCCTACATACAGGCCGAGAAAGAGCTAGGTCATGTGACAGCTGTATAATGATTAGGAAAAAGATACTTAGATTATTTTTTTTAATAAAAATAATTACAGTGCCAACATCCATATACAGAAAGGGAAGGGCTAATGTAAATTAACCAGTTGCCGTCCGGCCTATGGCCAGATGGCAGCTGGGTGAACACTGTGTCCCTCCGGGAGGACGCCATATGGCGTCCATCCTGGCACACGCATTGCGCATGCTCGCAGTGCCCGCGCGCTGTGGTGTGATCTGTCACCAGCCATGTACCTCGGACAAGGGCCGATGACAGATCAGTGTACACCCCGTTGCCAGCGCCATGTGACCTGCTGGTCACATGATATGATAGTTGTATACAATGGATGGCTTCCTTTCATGCCATCCATTGTATACAAGTGTGTCTAGCTGTGAATGGTCACAGCAATCACATGCACAGGCTGGGCCAATCACAGCTCATCTGTCATGTGATTAGCTGTGGTCAATCACAGCTAATCACAACAACAAAAAACCTGAATGAATCGATGTCATTCAGTTAAATGCTTGCTTATATCAAAGTAATTCTTTGCTATAAGCAAATTGTGTAAAAAAAAAAAAAAAATATTGATCACTTCCCCATAGTACAATGTTACTATGGTAACATTGTACTACTTTGGTCATAGTGAAATATGAAAAAAAAATCTTAAAAAAAAAAAGAAAAAAATGTAATAAATTTTTTTTTAAAAAATTATAATTTTTTTTCATATTGTCACCAGTCAGTGTCCCTGATCACCGCCATGCCAGTTATATGATGACACTGTACTGCACTGGTGACAGTATGTAACAAAAAATAGTGAATATAATTTTTTTCATTTTCCGAAAAATTATGACAAAAAAATACAACTTCAAAAAACTCGCCATGCCTCTTATGAAGTACGTCAGACTGTCTACTTTGCAAAAAGGGGTCATTTGGGGATATCTGTACTGTTCTGACATTCTTGGACCTCAAGAAATTAGATTGGCTGTCAGTACTTCAGGATTGATCAATATTCAAATTATTTGCTATAATCCATCAAATTGTGTAAAAAAAACAAAAACAAAAAAAAACACTGATCACTTCCCCAAAGTAATACAATGTTACTATGGTAACAATATACTACTACTTTGGTCATAGTGTAATATGAAAAAAAAAATCTTTAAAAAAATAATAAATTCCTGATCATCGTCACACAGGTTATATGATGACGCTGTACTGCACTGGTGACAGTATGTAAAAATTGTGAAAAATTTTTTTTGATTTCTTCATTTTCTGAAAAATTTTGACAAAAAAATTACAGCTTCAAAAAATTCTCCATGCCTGTTATGAAATAGGTTGTACTGTCTACTTTGCAAAAATGGGTAATTTGGGGGATATTGTACTGTTCTGACATTTTTGGGCCTCAAGAAATTAGATTGGCCTGCAGGATGATTGATCAATTTTCAGATATATCCCATAGTTTGTGAACTCTATAACTTTCCTACAGACTAAATAATAAATACTGATTTGGGTTATTTTCACCAAAGACATGTAGCAGAATATATCTTGGCCTAAATTTATAAAGAACAATTATTTATTTGCAAACTTTTATAACAGAAACAAAGAAAAGCGTGTTTTTTTTTTTTATCAAAATTTTCGGTATTTTTTTGTTAATTTAGCAAAAAAAAAAAACACCAGTGGTGATTAAATACCACCAAAAGAAAGCTCTAGTTTTGTGAACAAAATTATAAAAATTGTAGTTTAGGCACAGTGTTGCATGACCGCGCAATTGTCATTCAAAGTGTGAGAGCACTGAAAATTGGCCTGGGCAGGAAGGGTGTAAGAATGCCCAGTATTGCAGTGGTTAAACTGTGTTTAGCATCACTTCAAATATCAGATGTCTTGTTTGTGCCTTTTGTGCTTGCTGCCTATTAGGCTGTGCTATCTGTCAAGATTACCTAACTGCGAAATGTATGAAAACATGTACAGACGTGCTTTTATTAGCAACTCTCTCACATAATATATATACTTTTCTGTTTACAGCAAAACCACCCAATTATCACATGTAACTGTCAAATCTGTTGCATCAGCTGTAAAAATTTCATAGTGCATAGCTGTAATTAATTTTGATTTTGAATAACATTATATCATCTTCCACATAAATACAGTTTAAGATGGTGACATAACATTGCAAATATTGATTGCAGGTTGCAAGCCGATCATATAAAGTCTCAAAATGAATGTAAGCAGTTTGCTGCTGAGGTTCGAAACACACATGAAAAATATAAACTTCTCATGGAGGAATTGCGTGGAGAACTGTTAGAAAAGACACGTGAAATCGAGGAGCTAAAGCTACAAGTAAGATCTCTGTACAAAATAAAAGGGCTAATGTGTGTGCCTTCCAAGCATTTTCTTGTGCTTTTTCATTCTTTTGTGTGTGTTTTTTTCCCCCACTCATTTCCCTAGCTTAAAGCCCACATGAATTGAAACACTTTTTTTTACAAGTACCTGCAAGATTGCTGGTCTTCTGAGACTTAACTCTTGGAGGACTTGGTCTTGCTGTCATAGCAACAAAATGTGTCACAGTCTGTAGAATATTTGTGTAGCCACACCCTTGCTTGAAAAAAAATGTCAGTTTTTTATAGTGTAATAAAATCTTGCATATTCTAATTAAATTGAAAATGTTCGTGCAAACTAATTTAACTCATACACTGGAAATAAACAATAGACTTAAAAAAAAACAAGTACTTATTAGTATTAATCAATAATAATTGACTCGGCACTGCAAATTTACTCTCTCCTTACTTATATAAATATTTACAAAATCTTCAAATAAAAGTTACTTGTTGTGCCAAGTCTCAAATCACAAAATGAAATAGTGTCTGTCTCTTTAAAATAATCAATATAGCATTCTTCTATAAAAATAAAGCACCATAAGTGTACTACAGATACCAGCTTGTATGTTGCCCAGATCCGCAACTGATGTTGAAGAGGCTGCAGCTTGTGGAAACATGGATGCTAATGTAGCACTATCTTGCCACTGTCCCCTTAAGAAGTAATACAGTGCTGGGCATAAAAGTATATTTGGAGGCTTTCACCTTCCACCTAGATCTCTTGTGCACTCTATACGGCACCGACTCCTGCCCCTTGCGCGCTGTGCCACCGCCGTGGCTTTGTCAGAGGTACGTTTTAGTTCATGTAGTCCAGCGCTGTCTTCCCTGCAGCGGATTCTTCCCACTTCTCCAGATTCCTTCTGTCTCACAGCTAGTTCTCAACTGTGCATGCCCTAGATTTCTAGACCTATCCTGCAGCCTTCTGGGACATGTTATGTTGTCCCAGGAGGTTTTGGGGAGTCAGATCAGAGGTCATAGGCTTTCCAGAGTTCCCTCTCAGTATGTCATTATGTTCCTATATTTGTATAAGAGAGCAGTGACCATCCAAGTACAAAGTGGCCCCAGTCCTTTGACCCCCAGGACCTTTCCGTGAGTACCAGACGTGTGCCGGGAGCGCGCTCTCTCAGCAGATATGTTTTTTCTTACCTGAACGCAAATGTGCGGCCTCCCGGTGTCTAGGCCTAGACGCCGAGCGGCCGCACATTTGCGTTCAGGTAAGAAAAAACATATGTGCTGAGAGCGCGCGCCCTGCGCACTCCCAGGACACGCCCATTACTCACGGAAAGGTCCCGGTCTGCTCTTTCGATCGGGACCTTTCCCGATCATGTGACCGCTGTGACAATGCGTCACGGTGGTCACATGATCCATAAACCATGCCCCACCCACCCTGCCTCCCGGCGTCTGAAACTCTTAAAGGGCTGGGAGGCGCTGGCGGGAAGGGGTTAATGTGTTTTCCCTTTTCATTTATTGACAACCGCAATAAAAAGGAAAAAAAAGGATGGCTGTAAATAAGCAAGGGGGATTGGGTAAGAATTGTATTACCCCCAAAGAATTTAAAAAAAAGCATCAATATATATACATCATTCTATGAAAATTAATAAGATGTATTCAAGAGTAACTGAAGGAAAAACTTTTTCTTTAGTTTTGGATATAGTGGAGAGGGATTAGAATACCAGGTTTTCAGTGTTGTCCCCGATAGGGAGATTCACTCTCTATATTTGTCACATTTTCTGTCATCACCGAAAATGAAAGAAAATACCAAATTTTGGGTTGCCTGATCAGGAATAAAGGAAAAATCTTCCAATATGAACCCTAGGTCTGGTGATTACCCGTGATTTCCTCACACTTCCTGTTTTGGATATGGGATGGGTTATAACCTTCCCCTTCTCTATCTAAAATGGGAAATAGTATTTCCTTTAGTTCAACTAAATTAGGATTAAATAGATAGGATTAGTTATTTTTTTGATAGGTAAACTTAGTTGTCACTATTGCTAGGTAAAAGTATAGCTATCTCAGGTCTGAGGTCTGCTATGTGTGCTCAGGTGCTGCTAGTCTATCTAGCTTCCTTTGTATTTAGGAGACTTTAGAAGTTTCTGGATGATGGATATAGAGCTATGTAGATGTCAGCATGAATGTTAATACAGCCTCACCCTATCCCAGAGAGAGGGGCTCTAAGGCATGCCGGGTAACTGTATATATTTAGTGAGCACACAGAGCTCTGTGTCTATCTTTTCTAGGCTTGCCCAAGCCTGGGAGAGGGCACGTTGCCCTCCCAGGCAGCTGCTGCCATAGACTTTAGGTAGGCTACTTGAGGGCCTGAATTCCTGAGACTCGGGTTCTGCTATGCTGACTGAGAGACTTTCTCCTGAAGATCTGGTCTGTTATCGCAGAGGAAGGCATTCAGTGTCTGTTGGGCCTTGTGAGTACAGACATCCCTAAAGGATCTTAGAGACTGTGTGCTGTTTAACCCTCTCTGGTGCTAGGAAGTCAGCTGCGGCTTTAGAAAAGAGTTTAGTCCTTTTGTCCACTACTACTTGAAGAGACAATGTTCTGGAGCTCTAAAGACATTACTGCTGCTGCTTCTACTTCTATTCCTTGTTGCTACTGCCTTAAGTTGAAGTCCACTGTTTGATACAAACAAGGACTGTAATATAGCTTGCCCTGAAGATTAGACAAAATCCTCAATATACATAGTTTCTAATTTGAAGTGATTAGGACACACGGATCATGGAGATCACCGGGTGCGCGCACTGGGGGCGCGTAGGAGGGTGCGTTCAAGGAGGACGTCATATGACTCCCTACCAGAACTGGACAACCATGCTGTAGCCATCATTCAGCTATAGCGCGGTTGGCAAGAGGTTAATACTGTGTATTTAGCATCAGTGAGAGCATGCAGTCTTTTGTAATAGTTATCTATGAGGCCATCAAATTCTTGCAGGTGATATAGCTGCCCATTCGTCTTAGCAAAATGCCTCCAAATCATGCAATGTCTTTGGTCGTTTTGCTTGAACCGCACATTTTGAGATCTCCCCAGAGTGGCTTAATGATACGAAGGTTAGGAGACTGTGATGGCCACTCCCAAAACCTTCACCTTTTTTCTGCTGTAACCACTGGAGGGTCAACTTGGCCTTGTGCTTAGCGTCATTGTTGTGCTGGAAAGTCCAAGAGAAGAATTTTCTGATCACATGCTGCATTCATCTTGCCATCAATTTTCACAAGATTTCCTGTGCCTTTGGAACTCACACACCCCTAAAATATCAGTGAGCTACCACCATGATTCACAGCGGGGATGGTATTCTTCTCACTGTTGAGCCCTCTCCAATATGGTGCTTATGACTGTGACCATAAAGCTCTATTTTGGTCTTGTCACTCCAAATTACAGCATGCCAGAAGCTGTGAGGCATGTCACGTTGCTGTCAGTCATATTGTACGTGGGCTTTTTTTGTGGCATTGACACACTAAAGGCTTCTCTCTGGCAACTTAACCATGCAGCCAATTTTTGTTCAAGCATCATTATATTTTGCTCCATGAAACAACCACTTCATGTTTTCAGAGTAGCCTGTATTTTTCCTGAGGTTACCTGTGTTTTTTTTCTTTTTATCCAGAACAATGCTTCTGGCAATTGTGGCTGCAATTTTTCTTGGTTTACCTGACCTTGGCTTAGTATCAAGAGATCCCCAATTTTTCCACTTCTTTTATAAGTGATTGGACAATACTGACTGGCATATTCGAGGCTTTGGATATCTTTTTATATCCTTTTTCATCTTTATAAAGTTTCATTATCTTGTTTTTCGACAGTTCTTTTCTGCTGCCCATGACTCAATATCTAGCCTTCTCAGTGCATCCACGTGAGAGCTAACAAACTCATTGACTATTTATACAGACACCGATTGCAATTTAAAAAGCCACAGATGTTGGAAATCAACCTTTAATTGCCATTTTAACCTGTGTGTGTCACCTTGTGTGTCTGTACCAAGGCCAAACATTCCAGGGTATGTATACTTTTTATCAGGGCCATTTTGGGTGATTTCTGTTATGATTTTAGAAAGGAGCCAAACCGCTATGTAATAATATATGGCTTTAACAATAAATAAAAGACAGATTTTTTTTGGCACGATCGGTCATATTTTCAATATCAGTGCCAAAATTTCACAATTTCTGCTAGGGTGTGCAAACTTTTGAGCACAATTGTATCTTCACATGCTTCAAATCCAAGTGGTACCAGTTTCCTCCTCATACAGGTTACCAGGGTTCTATTCAACTCTCTTTTTAGTTCAAAAGAGAAATGGTAGTTGTTGTGAGAACTCTAGGACGCCTACCTTCACATTCCGATCCTCCCATTGTTCCAGAAATACCTGAGGTTTTGCAGTTGGTCATCTATACTTGCAATTCAGAAGGGGCTGCAGCCTAACCTATGCCTTCTGTCTTGTGGGACCTTCCCCAAATAAACCTCTTCGCTTCTCCAGGCAGCTGAAAGCTTACAAGATTTCTTACCCAATTTCTGCACCCCAGGGCAGAAGGGGTGGATGCCCTGTCCTCCTCTGGCATTACACTGCACAGTCTAACCTATGCCTTCCCTCTGCTTCTGATGTCACAGGGCGAGTTCACACACCTAAACCTGCACAGGCTGGATCTTCAAACATGGCTATTGAAAGGGGGAGAGTAGAGGGTCTAGGCTACTCCTCTCAGGTAATATCAACTTTGCTTAAAGCAACAAAAGCCTTTTACTACAACATTTATCTTAAGATCTGTGATATATTTGTCTCGTTTTCATCAGGTCCAAGTGACGGCAATTCCTGTAGTTACAAGATCTAGGTGGGCTGACAAGCCTTTGGGGATAGAGTAACTCAGAGTGGTGCAGAAGAATCGCCTTCCCAGAAAGAGTATTTCCCCACTGGGACCTGTTGTTACTTCTGATTTTATTGTCCGCTCACCCTTTTGCTCCAGTAGAACAATGTTCCATAAGAAACAAAACTCATAAGGGTGTAAAGGTTTTTCTTGTCACTGTAACCTCTGATTGAAGAGTTCAGTACTACAGGCCTTAGTAGCGTCCAAAAATATATATCCCGTTCTTTCCAGATAGAGTGGAACTTCGGCCTCTGGAGCATTTTGTGCTCAAGGTAGTAACCTCTACATAAACATGGACTTTACCTAACTATCCAAAGGATCAAACAGGTACTTTGCATGGGCTCGATGTTTCCAGAACTCCATTGCTTCATCCAGGTCATCAGAGAGACTCTGTGTCATGCCTAGCGAGAGGGGCAGAGGTAAAGAGGCCACTTTCAGAACACTAGCCAGTTGGATTCTTAAACGCATACAAAGAGCGTATAGAGTAATGGGCTTAAATCTGTCTTCAGTGGTGACTGCACACTCTAAGAGAGCGATTGCAGCTTTTTGGTTGGCTCACTCCAGAGTTTCCATGGAATCCATTTGCAGGGCAGCCTCATGGTCTTAATGTCATACTTTCCTGAGGCATTACAGAGTTTATCCAGAAATCCTGTCGACTGTGGACTTTGGTAGACAAGCAATATAAGCTTCGGTCCTATCCTCATAATAAAATGTATTCTTTGTGCATTAACCCACCATCAGCTAGTTATTTATCACAAGTATTTTGCCATGAAGGAACCAGGAAAATGGAAAATTGTATCACGTAGTTACCATCATTTTTCTTTCCTGTGTCTATTCCTGGCAGCATAGATTCCCCCCTCAGTATGTGGCTTGTTACAGAGAATGCTGAGGTCCTTACCTACTCTTTTTTTTTTTTTTTTATGCTATTTACTGGTTCTCAGGGAGTGGTTAGAAGCGGAGTTCTATGGATAGGTACTAGGAAAGGAAAAGTGCAGTGAGTATATGATACAATTTTCCAGTTTGCCTGAATGCACTCAGTAAATATAGTTTGTTGCTGTGGTTTTTATTAAATAACTGAAGTCGCATTAACGAACAGATGAATGCATTTCATTTTTCCTTAATAGCAGAACTGCAGATAAGATTTGTTGTTTGTCGCCAATCTTAAGTTTGCATGTTTTTTCTCTCTTGCAGGTTACATGGAAAAAAGCTAAAATCTAATTGGTTGCTTCTGAAATAAGCCATGCTTTTTTTTTATTTTTCTTAAATACCATCTTTTTGTTTTAGGTGCTCTCACCTCAGAAACTAGACCTTATAAAAATTCAAATACAGCAAGAAATAGAAGCTCCTATGCGGCAACATTGTCAAAAATTGTCTGAAGTAAGTTTACATTTCCTGTGAAAGAACTGGTTTGGCTTCCAGTGGAGCACCAGTTTTGAATGAGCAAAACTATTAGAATAGGCTTGGTTGGTATAAAGATAAGGACAGCATGAGCCTTTTTTTTGTACAGCTTGTATTATTTTTTTCACTGCATTCAAAACATCCATGGTAAGAAAGCCTAATTGTAGCTTCTCAAACAGTATAGTGGTCAAGTTAAGATAAATCAAACAGTAAATGTTAAAGCTGAATTCCAGGAATTCAGCCACTGTCTAAAATCTTCTGGCTTACTATAGTTCAACAAAGTACATGACACCTTGCGGGCTTATCTTTTATTTACAACTAACTGTTTTACTGAGTGCCAGGAGTATGGCTATCACTATATTCCTGGCTGTCTGACAGACCTTTGAAAGATGCTTCTCTCTCATACAGCAGCACTTTTGCCTGCCCTTCCCCTCTGCTGGCCAGTCATAGAAGGCTTTGTATTTTGTGAATTAGTTCACATAATACAAAGCACTCTTTGATTAGACAGGAGGAGACAAGGGGCACACAGAACAGCTGTATAGAACTCTGCAACTTCAGAAGCTAAGACCCAGGAGTCCAGCGTTGGAGCACCAGAAGCATAGTAGTAGCTGTACTCCTGGTGCTCAGTAAAAATAAATAAAAAAATACGAGTTCACAAGGTGGCATGCACCTATGACATTTAGAAGGCTGCAGCATTTGTATCTTGAAATGGTTGTGCCAGCTTTTTTCATTTGTCAGTTGTTTTCATAAATTTAATATTTGGGTGCATTTGAACAGGTTGGCCCACAGGATCTCTTCCTCTCAGATTTAGCTGCAGCTCAACCCACATTATTATTATTATTATACAGGATTTATATAGCGCCAACAGTTTGCGCAGCTCTTTACAAATGAAGGTAGACATTACAGTTACAATACAATTTGGTACAAGAGGAAACAGAGGGCCCTGCTCATTAAAGCTTACAATCTAGGAGCACAGGGCAAGGATGTTATGAGAGAGTTTAATTCTTGGCTTTTTTTTTTTAAAAGTGTTACTATTGTTATAACTTTTTTCTTTAGTTTTCTATATAAAATGTACAGGATTAGAACCACTGTCAGCTTTTTTTTTATTGCTGTCTGTGTCCCTGCTGGGGAAATTCACCCTTTCTGTTTGGGGCCTGGTGACTATTATGACCAAGACAGAAAATTTTAGAGGCCATCAGAACAAGTTTAAGAGTAAATCTGCCAAGGAGGACACTTGTTCAAGTGACGTCTGGCTCATAGGGTAATTCCTTTAATTTAGAGAGATTCCTTCTCGCTTCCTGTTTTGTTCAAAGACAGAAATTAAGGGAAATTTCCCCTAAAGTATACTGTCAGCAAAACGAAATTGACAGGAGTTTTTAACCCTTACCTATACTATCTAAAACTAAGAAGAAGTTTTGACTATTCATATGCATTTGCATTACAGCGAGTAGTGCAAGAGAAGTGAGACCACACTTGGCTTAAAAGCTGTAGGGAGGAAGATCTGAAAAATCTGCTCAGGGTGGGAAAATCAGAGAATATAGATGAAAAAATTACCACCTATGGAACATGTTAGTTTCTGTTGAGATAAAATTAAAACAATTTTTTTCAGCTTCATGCCTTCAGAACACATAATATATTGCTCAATATTCAAACAATATATACAGTATATATTCAAACAAAGCTGACACATTTGATTAGAGAGTACCTGGTTACAATCAGATTTGTTAAAGGGAATATATAGTTATATGTTTTTTTTTTTTTTTAAATCATTTTCTCTAACCTCCTTTACAGTTGTGCTTTGAAACTGATTTGCAGAAAGGTCTGACTAAACAGACATAAGAATAAGTTACACTAGAGGGACATACTCCTTCTCTTTGTCCATTTTGGGGCATATTTATAAAACAGTGAATCCGATATTTAACCTACATTCACTACAAGTTGAATCTTCCAGGTGTATGTGTTTTGAATAACAGTGATTTGAATCGTTACCAAGGATTTTTGGTAAGTCTTTGTTCACATAGGGCATTCTACAATATATGCCTGTGCGAGGGGGTACCTGCACGGGAATCCACAGTTGTACCTGCACGGGAATCCACAGTTCTGTGCAATTTGACATCTGTGCATGCAGGTAGTTGCGTGATGTTCAGGGACATATCTCCACATGAGAGATGGAGTAGTAGCTGTGTCCATGCAGCCGCTGCATTCCAAATGAAATCAGTGGCATGGGGATATATCCCCATGCATCCCCATGTAGGCAAACACGGCCTTGTATGGGTGTATACTGTAGTACACTCCGTGTGAATGAGTCCTGAAAGTCACCTTCACTGCTTTATAAATACTACCCCATTGTGCTCTTTTAGCCATGCAGTCCATGCAGTGTTTGTTGTCTTATTGGAAATGCTTTGTAAACTTGAGTCCCATGTGTGCTCTTTATGTTACATATATGTTTGTAACATACAGATTTATATATTATATACGTTGGGCTTGATTTACTAAAACAGGACAGTGCAAAATCTGGTGAAGCTGTGCGTGGATAGCCAATAACTTGCTCGTTCTAAATTAAGCTTTGACAAAATAAAAAACCTGGAAGCTGATTGTATTTTATGCAGAGCTGCACCAGCTTTTGCATTCTCCAGTTTTAGTAAACCAATCCCATAAATATATATATATATATATATATATATATAGATTTGTTTCTTAACTACTTGCTCTCCATCCTATAGCAGTTCTACTGCTACAGGGTGGCATTCCTGTGCAGAATTCACGTAAATAAACGTAATTTTGCACTTCCGCCACACCGGGGAGCGAGCACGCTGAGAGGGGGGGATCTTCAACTGTGAACAGTTACAGCACAAACCTATCTGCAAGCTCTGGCGAGCAGTTGCTCGTCGGCACCTGAAGATCGTCAGTCAGGGAGGAAGAACAGGGCTTTGGCTATGTTTACATAGCCATAGCCCTGTTGTAACAGTGGAAAGTTATGTTGTTCGTCTGCACCTGCAGATCTTCAGTCAGCAGGCTATGGCTATGTTTACATAGCCATAGCACTGTTGTAATAGTGGAAAGTCATGAATTCATTTTTTTTTCTGTAGAACTGAGAACATGATTCATCACTTCCCATAGTAAAAGCACCACCTAGTGTACACCAAACACATAAGCTAGGCACACACTTAACCCTTTGATCACCCTAGATGTTAACCTCTTCCCAGACATTAGTACAGTGTCAGTGCATATTATTAGCACTGATCACTATATTAGTGTCACTGGTTCCCACAAAGTGTCAGTTAATGTAAAAATGTCTGCTGCAATATCGCAGTCCCACTATAAATCACTGATCGCTGCCATTACTAGTATAAAAAGTAAAAAAAAAAAATCCAGTATTATTTTGATTGCGCAAACTAATCAATATACACTTATTGGGATTTTTTTTTTTTTTTACTAAAAATATGTAGCAGAACATATTTTGGTCTAAATTTATGAAGAAATGTGATTATTACATTTTTTTTTATTGGATATGTTTTATAGCAGAAAATACTTTTTTTTTTTTTTCTTTTTTTTTTTTTTTTTAAATCAGAATTGTCAGTCTTTTTTTGTTTATAGCACAAAAAGTAAAAACTGCAGAGGTGATCCAATACCACCAATTGTCAGCTAAAGTAACACAGCGCCGTATCGCAAAAAATGGCCTGGTCAGACAGCGGAGTAAATGTTCTGAAGAACAAGTGGTTAAAGTCCATAACAGCAGAAAAATGTGAACTATATATTGCAGCTGAAAATGGGGGAACTTGTTTGTCTCCAGTATTTATAAACATTTAGATTGATTGTGAATTCATTTTCTAGGATGCTGAAAAAATATCGTGGAGACTACAACAGACTGCGTTATGAAGCAAGTATTCTTGCAGCTCAGATTGAGCAACAAAAAGAAGAGCAGATACGTGTTTTAGCAGAGCTGAAGATCAAGTATGAAGCTGAGGTATGAAAATATGTTTCTGCTAAAAACAGAAAATTGCCTTCATTACCCTTTACAGAAAAAGAATATTAAGTTAATAAAACTCTGTTTTGTTTTGTGCTGGAGCGGGAATGGGGCAATCTGTTGGGATTGTCTGGTGTAGGTATGGACTGTCAGAAGTGACTCATGCAGATAGAGAAATGAGAGAGGAGACAGAAATCACACTGGTTGCATTTGATAGAGGCTAGTACATAATATAGAAGGATAGGCTTTGTTCATTTTTCAATTTCCGATGTTTGCAACTACTTTAGAATAACACTGTTCATGTAATTCTGTGAGACTAGATTGCCTGCAGATCTTTTTTATTATTTTTTATCCTCATTGTTTGGTGCAACTGGAAATCAATAGATCTGTGTATTTTCTGCATTTAAATGCCAGCTCATTAAAGCAGAACGGAAGGCAAAACTATTTTTTTTTTTCCATTTTGGAAAGAGTAAGGGAAAGTTAAAACCCATGTCAGGTTTATTGCCATCTGTGTCCTGTTGGGGAAATTTTCTCTTTGCTTTCTGTCCCATAACTGAAACAGGAAGTGAGAGGAAAACCCTCCAAAATGAGGGAATCCTTGATTGTCACCAGGACTACTGTCCCCATTGGAATATTTCCCCTCTTACTGTTGAGACATCCAAAATTTGGGATTTTTTTTTTCACTTTCAGTGATAATGGTAAACAGGACAAATAGAGATGGTGAATCTCCCTAAAGGGAACAAAGATTGCAATAAAAACTTAACAGGTGTTCTAATCCCTCTCCACTCCACTATCCAAAGCTAAAAAAAAACTCTTTTAGTTATAGTTTAATCCGTTGCTGACCGTGCTATAGCCGAAAGATGGCTACTGTGCAGTTGTCTAGTTCTGGGATGACTTCTATAGATTTCGTCCCAGAACCCTGCCCCCCCCCTGCGTGCCCCAGGGGTGCGCATCAGGTGCACTCTGCGATGTGCCTCCTTTGGACACAGCTGATCACAGATCGAGGTAAAGGGCTAATGACAGCGGCCCTTTTCCATGTTATCAGCTGTGCCCAATAACAGCTGATCACATGTAAACAAATGCCGGTTGTCGGCATTTCCTTTCCTCACACTCCATCACTGCGTGAGAAAAGGAAAGCCAATAACCGGCAATCCTGTGACAGGACACATTTACACTGATAATCAGTGCAGCCTCATCAGCGCAGAAAAATTACTTATTTGCAAAATTGCCTTGGGCAGGAAGGGGGTGAACATGCCCAGTATTGAAAAGGTTAAGCACATTTTTACAGACTACATAGAACCAGTGACTCCAGTCTCTGTCCTCTAAGAGGTTTTATAACCTTTACCCTTAAACTAAAACCCCTACTAAACTGACTACCCCTACCAAACGCCTACTAAAGAGCCTATGGGTCACAGGATATTTATAGTTCAAAGCATGAAAGGTAGGTGGAGCAGCACTGTTTAATTCCTATTCTGCCAGTAAAGACGTTTATTAAAAATATACACTAACTTGTCCAATACATGTTTTGATGATTCAGTGCTATGTCCAGCGCACACAATTCCACATTGTTATATTGTAATTTGTTTATATTGCTGGAAAATTGTGCTCCAATTGAGCTCCATCTATGAATAGCTTGAGTGAGCTTCAGTGTATTTTTGTGATCCCAAGCTATATATATAGTGGAATTAAAGCACATTAGAATGCTAAGTAGAGTCTGGGTGTCTGGGTATGATAGAACTTTTATCACTTTTTTTAGAGTATTGTATGTTTAATGACTCTTGCAGATCTCACACCTGGAAAAAGATAAAGAGGAACTTCATAATCAGATAATAAGCATTGATCCCACAAGAGATAGCAAACGCGTGGAGGCTCTTTTGGCAGAAAAAGTCCAATTATGCCAAACTATAAAAGATTTAAGGGCTGAGGTGACAGAACTTCGAGCAGCAAGAGACCACTATGGATCACAAGCAGAAAATGTACAGAGATCACAAAAGCAGCTGTTTACTGAGACCCAGGCATCTATACGATCCCTTGAGGTAAATATTAGTAGGATTAAATATTAAGTTGGTTTTGTTAACAATGTATGATGATACACTGACAAAAATGGATAAAAACTGAAAAAATATTAAAGTGTCAGATAGCTGTGATACACTGTATGTTGGGATATGCTAAAGTGAAACGCTAATTTATTTATTTTTTTTGGTCAGTTTTGTTCACAAAAGTTTTTTTACCTAGTCGTTAAAAATTCTCATATAAACTTCAACTTGTTAATATAATTTCAAAAGTAATTTGTAATATTTTAACTTTTATTACAGCAAAACTACACTGCATCTGAGCACCACAGACCAAAAACACTATTTTTTTTTATTGTTAATATTCAAAGCAAACTCACCTATCCATCCATGTTGCCATAATTTATTTTGTGAGAAATCACTTTAAAATCCCCCCCCCCCCCCCCAGCATTTCTGGCTGTGGCCATCTGGAGTAAGGGCAGATGATTCATGTAGTGTTTACTTCCTGGAATCCATCTGCCCTTAGTTCAGGCATGTAGACAGGAGGGTGCGCCTAGCTGCTGAGAAAACCCCTCCTTTCATCCTGAAGACTCCTGGCATATGTGTCATCATTGCAACTGTAAAAATGTAAAATGCACTGTAAAAAAAAAAACAGCTTAAAACAAGTATATATGATATACTTTCCTATCTATTTACTAATGCTAGCAGCATAAGGATTAAAAATAGTCGTCGTTCGAGAGCGTGAAGTCCACTTCCAGGCACTTCCTATTATAGGTTGATAATGCTTTCTCTCTGGCTCCCAATTATGCTTCTGCATTAACACCCTGCTACATGTGCTTGTGATGGAGACTACACATAGCCTTTTCTGCCCTCATTATACAGGTAGGATCCACTGTTATCACCATTGGCAAATCCATTCTGGGAAATGCCATGCAGCCATTGCTGGAGTGCATGCATGTAGACAGAAAGTTGCTCCAAAGGGGCTTCAGGAAGTCAGCAGCACTGAAATGCAACAGCAGATGAAATTTAGGTGAAAAAATTTTATTAAAAAAAAAAAGGTTTATTATCTGCAGTACTTTAAAACAGTGGTTCCCAACCATTGGGCTGCAACAGAACTGTGGGTCTGTAAGGCCCTGGGTTTCTAGGCTCACAGAGCCTTGTTAAGTGTCCACACCGATGCCTGCCCTTATTTATTTTGGGCATTGGTTGTGGGCAACCGCTAGTAAAGCCCAATCACTACTCCCTGTTTCTGCCTACCCCAGAGTGCAGGAAACACTGTGATGTAGCCATTTTACCTGCCAGTAAGGGCGGAATGGCCACCAATTTGCAAGCAGTGAACAGTAATGTCTCGTGATGGTTTCCTGCTGAAGAACAGGTGCAGGTCAGAGCAGCCTTCCTGTGGACTCAGTAGTGTCAGTGTGGCCATAGACTGGCACAGGAGCTTCCTGGCCCTGCTGGCACTGAGCTGAAAGTCCAGGCTGTGTAGAGTGGCTCAGGATCAGAGCTCCGTCTCAGTCTCTGGTAATTGGACTCTGCAGCTGGAAGGGCACTGGATGCTGGAATTGTGAGTACAGGGAGCGAGGCTAACAGGAGGGTAACAGAACATAGGTAGGTACTATATTGCTGGCTGTCACTGTATATTGTCCCTGCACCATAATTCAGCTGTCTTGCAGTTTGTTTTTTTTTAAATTATATTTAGAATGTTTAGGGCCTTACTTCTCACAACTCTTTTCACACCATTCTGGTGTGATGTGTTAACTTATATGTGTGTCAACATGTGTTTTGTCACTTGTTAATGTGTATTGTGTTAAGGAAGGTTATTTTAAAAAAATAAATGAATTAAAAAGAACTTAAGAGTAGTGCACATATTTACATAAGCATGACTGTAGGGTCCATTTGGTCTGTTCTTTACACAAATCTAAGTGTACCTCAAAACAGTTCCAGATGGGTGAGATTAAAATGGTTCATCTGCATCAGGAGAGTCCATATGGGAAGCAGTAGAAACCTATTCTGCAGCGCCTTCTGTGGAGCAGGGTAAAATCCAGCTAGTGTATACAATGGAAGTAGAACAAGGGCCAGGTATATTATTGAACAATTAGAATAACAATTAGAATAATATCCACTTACATGTTCGGTATCCAGACAGAGACATACACAGGATCTATGTTGCAGCATAGCCAGAGGCATAGATCCAGAAAAACGGAAAGCTGGCCAGCTGTCAACCTGAGGCCGGTGGTGTTTCGCTGGACCCTCATAGATGTCAAGGGAGCAGCATCTGCAGTGTCTAGTGGAAAGTCAGTGGAGCTGACAGGCAGTGATTTTAAGGGACACGTGCCCTTTCTCATGCCTAACTGCTGCAAATTACACAGCTGTTTTTATCAGAGATTCTGATGGACTACAAGGCTCAGAAGAACTTCATAATTCCACAGGTTAAATTAAAATAGCTGCAACTGGACAGCACATACTTCTACTAATGTTAATGGTGGTATTTTCCCTGTATTTTTCAAAAACAATTGTATAAAACAGGTGTATTGAAACCAATAGTAATGCTGTTAATTCATGATTATACCAGCAGAGGGAGTATCAGATGTTAGATATTACATTGTATCACTTGAAACATAAATGTGTCAATTAGGTAAAACAAACTGATCTGCTTGTTTAATACACTGTACAAACAGATCAGTTTGTTTCATGCAGCACATTACATAGTAAGTCACTGTGTACTGTGTTGCGTTACGATGTATGCAAGTTGCAGTGTTTAGCCTTAGTGCTCTTGGGTGCCATTTGAAATGTCACGCCCATTTGCAAGATGCTAACGCATGTAATGTGTTCTAAATGGCCCTTAAATAATTAGTTTAATGTAAACAATAGTAAAGTGTTAAGCTGAATTCATCAAAATGCATGTTGTGAGTTAACGTGCATTACGCGTTTTTAAACATGCTACAATGTACTTTGTGTTGAATGTCCATGCACACCGTAACGCTGTAGTAAACCGCAGCAAAAAAAAAAATTGGGCAGTGTAAGTCATAATGTGCTAGTATGCACCACAAGCTATCACATTATGCAGCAGTGGGCTGTGGAGGGGAGGGAGCGAGTGGCTCAGGCTCGCTTCGCTGAGAGGCTGAGCCAGGTGCCCCTCCAGAAACTGAAGGACGACTTCAAAGTCGGGATCTTTCTTCTGCCTGGACCGGCTGAGGGACATCAGCCAACAGCGGACTTCAGTGTGCTGTCAGCTGAAAATGGGTCACAGGAGTGCAGGACAAACTGCACTCATGTGATCTACAAGAGAAGTACAGCCAAAAAAGCTTTGGCTGTACTTCTCCTTTTTTAGGAATGGCCAAGCCGTGATGACGTCACTCCTGCACTTGCGTGCGGGAGTCACTCTTCACAGCATAGGGCTCTGAAGGAATGGCAGGGCTATGCCGTTCTTTCAGATAGCATGCGCTGGTGAGATCACCTGCTGCTGCTAGAGTAAATATTATCTAAACGGTGCTCGTTTAGGAGATATTTACCATACCTATAGGTAAGCCTTATTATAGGCTTACTTACAGGTAAAATTCAACCAAGGGAGGAGTTTACTCCCACTTTAACTCAGATGATTGACACATGCATTGACATGTATTTTGATGTGTGTCTACTGATTTAAAAAAAAAAATGCAAAGGTGTGGATCCAAGCCTTGGCTACCCACATTACTCTACATCTGCTGTAAATGTTTGGGCATGTTGGGTTTGTTGGGGCATGTAAGGTTTTGGAGGAATTTATTGGGGTCTGGTTTTACTAAAGTTAACAACCTGTGCTTTAGAAAACTAAACATCATTCAAGTAGGTTTTGTATCCACTTTGATACAGGTTATCAAAGAATTTCTAGGACATTGTAGGTTTTCTAAAGATAGAGCACATCAGAGGCTCTTTGTGGGTATCTGCCTCTCTGTCTCTAACTGAAACCTAAAGAATGAGGGGCAGAAGTCACTGCTCTGACTTTTACTGTATACCTGTGTGTTAATTTCAGCTTGAACCATTGAACATTGAACTATAAAAAAAAGTTTCTTTCAGCAAAGTATATAAGGATATACTAGAGCTCCTATCTACTGACTGAATACTAAAGTAAACATCTTCTTAGGACAGAATAAATCCTTTTGTTTCTCCAAAGTCTGCAAGTTTAAAATGCAGCTGCTGCAACTAAGGTCAGTACCCTCACTTTTGAAAGTTCGGAGATGTCTGCTGGCCTTTGCAGTTACCTGGTCCTGGGACGATTTGGACCTTTGGGTCCATAGCGTAATCCACTTTGTGTTATCAAACTTGTCAATGTACCCACATTGGCAGATCTCCACACTGCTCTGGAGCAACCATTCTCACAGAGAAAAAGTGATTCCATGTCATTTCAAACCTGTTCACTGTTTACATAACATATTACATAAGGTTTTGGGGTTTAATGGTGGCCTGCTTCGAGGCAGTTCTATATGTCCAATTCCACTCCAGACTGCTAGAACTCAACATTCTGACAAGAGCGCTCATCCTAAGGACCATTGTATCTGCTCGATCTGCAAAACCAGGTTTGCCCTGGCATGGTAGGTCATGAATTCAGCACTGGAATTAAGAACTTTTCTTCTCTTACCGTTTTTGAATGTTCCCATGATGGAGGCAAAATTATCAGGCTGGAGAGGAGTCTTGGATACCCTCTTGGTATATGGGGGGTCACCAGATGAAGCTTGGTCCCAATCAGTATACTGTAGGTCACAGAATTTCGGTTGACCCTGAAACATTGGACCTCTTGACTCGTCAGTTAGACAACACCACAGCAGTAGCATACAGTATCCATCAAAGAGGAACCAGAAGTCCTGAAGCTCAAAGAGAAGCTGACCAAAAACTGGCTTGGGAAAAACCTCACATTCTGGTCCAGTCCACCATGCACATTTGCGGCCTGGACAATTGGCAGGCAGATTTCCTCAGTCATCAGCATCGGGGCTCCATAGAGTGGTCTCCTTATTCCAAGGTGTTTCATGTCCCCTATTGCAGGTAGGAGA